GGCTGTTTACGATAATTCGAGTTGGAGTAAGTACGAGTTAGTTTCACCAGAGCCGAGAAATATGATAGATACAACATCTAATATTTTCATGATTTATGACAACTCAATGCTGTCCGGTAAATCGAGTAGAGTAGAATAGAATTAAAGTAGTATAGCGGATAGTATACCCAGTAAGCAAATTGAGCACAGACTGCGCGCAGATTGGCAGCAAATTTGATAAAAAAACCCACAGCAAAACCATAGCCATCTGTGTCTACATTAGGCTACGGTTTTGGCGACAGATCTTGCTCTCGGACAATTGGTGCCAAATTTGCAGCAAAAACCGCGCAACTCTTATAGAAATATCATACTAAGAATCATTGATAATTACTTATTTTCAGTATTAAAAATACTGGATAATAAGTAATTATCAATGATTCTTAGTGGGTGTTTACGATAATTCGAGTTGGAGTTAGTACGAGTTAGTTTCACTAGAGTCGAAAAATATGATAGGCACAAGCATCTAGTATTTTCATGATTCATGACAACTCAATGCTGTCCGATAAATCGAGTAGAGTTAGGATAACATAGTGGATAGTATATGTATAAGAATTAACAATATCAGGTAACATAGTTTCGTAAAATATATAACAATAATATTACGAATCAATGAGTTATTACATTTTAGAAAAATTAGAAGCACTAAATTAAATTATGAAAAGATATCATGTATTTGTGAAATATTCAATAATAACAGATTAATAATAGGTTAGAATAATTGTTTTCTACTTTTGAATATTTTACAAATACATGATATCTTTTCATAATTTAATTTAGTGCTTCTAATTTTTCTAAAATGTAACAAATCATTGTTTCGTAATATTATTGTTATATATTTTACGAAACTATGTTACCTGATACTGTTAATTCATATACTATCCGCTATACTACCCTAACTCTACTCTACTCGATTTATCGGACAGCATTGAGTTGTCATAAATCATGAAAATATTAGATGTTGTATCTATCATATTTCTCGGCTCTGGTGAAACTAACTCGTACTTACTCCAACTCGAATTATCGTAAACAGCCAGTATGATATTTCTATAAGGGAAAGCTTAGGCTGGATCCTCATACAGACACCGGCGCTTTGACACCGAACGCTTATTGGTGAAAAACGGATGGTGGGAGTAAATAATAAGAAAACGGCGTTAAAGCAACAGCGCTATCATGAGGATTGAGTTTTTCATTATTTTTTGGCGCTTAAACACCAAAGTGTATGTGCCTATGTGTCATCGCAGATATATTCGGATTTCTATCAGAACTGTAGACTTTGTAGACTTATAATAAAATTATATATAGAAAATTGTA